TAAAAACTTTTCTGAAATAGGTAGGAAAGTCGTGTGAGTGGACACACCAGATTTTTTTTTTCGAAATCAACAAATGCTAACAAAAGCATCAATAAATGCGCTAACAAGGACACATATAATATGATTATTTTTTGTATATGGTGTAATACCAATAGTTATGCAATGAAATTATAATACAGAAATACATTTTAATAGATAAACAAATTTTTTGATGAATTGAAAATGAGCTAATCAGCTCAAAACGTCGTTGGAAGTAGAATAAAAAATTTGAAAATATAAGAGCTAATTTCTTAAAGACACCATTTATAAGACATTATTTAAATTCCAATACAATTCATATTTCATCCTTTTTTATTTGATATATCATTTTATAATCGATTATCCTTCGATTGTTAATGTGTATGTTCCCAACAATTCTCCGTGAAATTTTTAAGCCTGGCAAATCAAAAATATTTGATCAAATTTTCGTTCTGGAGTGGTAAGAAATAAAACTATATTTAAACCCAAACGCGAAAAGTGAATAGATCGATAGAACAAAAAGCTTGAACATATCGATGTGTACTTCAGCCTCCCCTCCCCAGAATCGATGTATTGGCTTACTCAGAGCCCCTGGGAACCAGCCTAGCCTTTCAGATCACGTTACGCTTTCGAAACTTTTCGCTCCGCCCAATTATTTTCGAATTATTATGAAATCGATTATATCCTTATTAAATCGATTTCGCAATATGTCAGCAACGGTTTCCGTTAGGTATGTACGCGTCCACATTTTAAGACTTTCAATTTACTTATTAAGTTCTTTGTTCTATTGTCTAATTGTCAAGTTGTGAATTTTTAATACCGACATAACTTTGTTTTTTTTTTTTGGTTTTATCAATATTATTGATATAAAAAATTACATTTTTTATTGACATAAACATAGTAAAGTCCAACCAAATTGATAAAATTAACTTGATAATATATTAAAGGCATTGTCAAGAAAGATAGTGATAAGACCCCCAAATTGGAATGGAAGAGTTTTAGAATAAATACAATCTATACAATGTCACAAATTATTTAAATTTTTTTTTTTTTTTTTTTTGTCTATTAGATATGTATTTGCGCCTGTCAACAATAAGTTAACAATCAGCAAATGTGATGGCGATAATGATAAAATGACATGACATGACAGGCATGGGGAAGGAAAGTACTCAGCAGTACCTCTTCCCTAACTTGTTCCAATTACTTAGGTTGTCTAAGGAAGAAGATCCCTCATCCAACGCCTTTTTAGTCTCCTGCTCATGTTCTGAGGTATGTCAGCTGTGGCCATGTCTCTTATAAGTCTGTTGTTATGTCCGTTTAAATTTGTGTAAAATCGTTGATATAGGGTCGTTATATGTTGGTCAACTGTTGGAAAGTGGAGGTCAGTATGTAGAGTTTTGTTAGTCACGTACCAAGGTGCTTTTGTTATGAGTCGCAATAATTTTGATTGGAACGTTTGAAGTTTTTGTAGGTGGGTCTTTATAGCGATGCCATATATTTGTGATGAGTATGTCCATATGGGCTTAAGTAAGTATGTATATGTATTCAGTTTCTGTTTTAGTTTTAGTTTCGAAGATTTGGCAAAAAGAGAGTAGAGTAGTTTGAGTCGTTTGTTAAGTGTCATGCGTTAAATAAAAAATCTGATGTGTCCACTCACATGACCGATTTTAAACAATTTTTTTTCAATTTTAAATATGTTCATTAGAGATAACACAATTGAATTGGATTTAATTTCTTGATAATCCATCAGAGAAATCATTAAAGTACGACGTATTTGATGAAATAAAGCAATGTTATGGACGAATTAATAATTATTTAAAAAGTGTATAAAATTCAATACACTGTAACGTTGCTAAAACTGGTCCGATTTAGACGATTTTTTAATAGTTTTGTGAGAACTTTTAAAAAATGTATCCACTACATATTAAAGAAATAATACTGTCAATTTTTAGAATATAGAAACCTAAATTAATCCCATATGAAAATTTGAAAGAGTTAAAAGGGAAAAGACATTGGTTCTATCAATCAATTCTTTACATATAGTAATTAAAATATTAGTAGTAACTATTTTGCTTTAATTTTTACTCTCAAAAATGCTTTTTTTTTTTTTGAACTGTCTTGGTCTTGTTATTGCAACAATTAACTGTATTCGGGCATCACTACGGACATGTCATAATTTCATTTTTTGTCATCCAGTATGCTGATTGTCATTATACATTTGACAGCTGCGAATAAATGTATGAAGACAAACAAAAAAAATATTTTTTTTTTTTGTTTTTAGGCAATGCTGTAAACTTAAAAAAAAAAAACATTAAATATCCCCAAAAAAGTGTATATTTTTTTAGTTATTCAGAATTTAATTTTACCATCGCTCGTAACTTTTTTCTCAGTTTTTTTTCGTTGAAGTATGTTATATAGATAAATTTAAAGGATGTCAAGAAAATGACTTTAGCGAAGTTTTATTGAAATCGGTGCATTCGTTTAGGCGCTGCAGTCTATAGCAACGCAGGTTTTTCTGCATTTTTATTTATTTTTTCTCCATTATTAACTCCTAAATCAAATTCTTTCAAAAGTTATATTTAGCATTTTTTCGTAACTCTCAATAATGTAAAATGATAAACTTTTTAATATAAACTATATTACAGGTACATAGAGGAAGTCGCATATGAACAATGGGCATTTAAGCCCTGTAAAGTGACATCAATGGGGATAAGACCTGATTGATATTAAAGACCACTTAATTATACAATGATACACCGAATTTAATCAAAATCGTTAGAGCCGTTTTTGAGAAAATTGTGAAAATGTGTTTCAACGTTCATATAAAGTGGCACCTCCGGTTAGCCGATTTTGAGGAAAAGCTTGCAGCCACATCCAAGGCATATACCTATCTTAAATACGTAATATCAGTTTCGTAGGACTTTTCATTTTCGAGCTAAAATGTTCTCATACACACAGACCATTTTTCGGGACTTGGTTATTTGGATTTAGGAGACACCCAAACGTGTATTTCCGTTGATAACTCAGATTCAAACATTTTTTCGATCGCAATACTTACCCTTACTATGTATTACATATATACGTAAGTGAAAAAATATTCAAAACTTGCTAAAAATATTCAACCAAATCGTACGTATCAAACAGATAATGCATTTAAAAACGTAATGCTTTTGATACACCTATTTTAAACATAGTAAATTCTTAAATGGCTCATATATATAAGTAGGTTGAACCGTTTAAGACAGTATTGGTAGTAGATAAGACGTATTTGTGCCCTATCTCTTCCAAAGACGGAACAATACGAAGAGCGCTGTTTTCTTTTTCTTCTTCCTTTTCTTCTCTATTTTATATATTGCCTCTTGGATGGCCTTCCTCTTGACTAGCTTTATCTCACCATCCCACTTTTGCTATCTCTGAGAAAGGAGTCGACGATTCCAAGGATAAAATCCTTCAGTGACAGTATTTTTCAAGGATATCCTATCGTAGCGGTTTCTCATTTTAATTTTCGTTATGGAAATCTTTGTATTTTTTAATACAATATAGTTATTACAAATATGAAAAATACATAATTTTATATGCCATGTCCATTTTGATTAATTTTGAGAATTTGTTTTTAATAAAATATAAAAAACGAATGTGTGCTTTAGACCACACGATTGAAGTGAAAAAATCTATAAGGCGAGATTAATAATATAAATTGTAAATAATAACTCAATATAAAGAGGATGAAATGCTGAACCATTCCCTTGCTTAATGTATGTAGGTCCGATTTCTAGTTTTTAAGCACTTTCAGATATATTTGGTTTGCCAATCTCAAAAATAATTGTAAAATATTCTATTTAGTTTAGTATTAGAATTTTAATTTTAATAATATTAGTTTTCGGATATAATTTTTCCATCACTCTCTATTACCTTCTGCGCGTTTAAATGTTAGATATCAATGTATCTAAAATGTTTAGCATCCAACAATTCACTTCTATTTCTGGAATTTCCTTTAAAACCTGAAAAAACATTTCTCTTTTTTTTCTCCTTTATTCAGTTGTCAAATTCATAATTCTTTCATAATAATTTTTTTATTACTACTGAAAATTAGATACGGTTAATTATTTTAAATAAAAGAAAATTAAAGTTACTTTAGAGGAAGATAATTTAAAAATTCGATATTTAAACCTTGTCAGATGTTTTAATAACAAAACGACTTTGCTAACATTAAACACCATTTAGTTGTATATTGATATAAAAAATTAAACCAAAAGGAATTTTTGAGAAAACCATATAAATATATAAAATGTATAATATAAAATGCCACTACCGATTATTCGATTTTGATAAGAAAACTATGATGTGTGCTTCAGACTACACGATAGAAATGAAAACATCAGCAATGCGAGATTAATAATGATAAATATAAATTATAAATAATAGCTCTTATAAAGAGGATGAAATGCTGAAAAATTCCCTCGCTTACACTATGCAGGTATGACTTTTAGTTTCTGAGACATTTTAATCCATATCTTCAATAAAACTCGTTATCGTTAGGTTTTCGAACTATTTTTTTCTTTCCGCCTCCCTAACACAGCATCGCGTTAAGATATAATTTTGTATAATAGTCCATTACAAAGAGAGTGAAAGTCTGAACAATTCCCTCGCTTTCAGTATAGTGGTACTATTTTTATTTTTTGAGATGTTTGACTATTATTTTTTAAATTCAACTTTTTTTATCGTTTCTGATTTATATTTATTTGGACTTTATTAAATATATAAATATACAATATACAAATATATTTCTTCTTGCTTGGTCCTTCTCTTGCTCGAGGACATTTTAAGGAATTTAATACTACTTCTGCTTGCATTGTTTTTAAGAAGAGGAGAGTAATAAAATTTCTCGGAAGGACACGTGTCATCGATCTTGGGGAGGGGAGAGGGGAGAGAGGATGGGCACCCTGTCTACGTTTATAATATATAATTAACAGCTGACTCACCTAAGATTCCATCGATGGAGTGGTTCTTCCTGAGATCGGAGTCGTCCCTCCTGCCGCCCCTGAGCAGCCTGGATATGGAGCTCACAGATGGCGCTGTGTTCTTGTCGCAGACCCCTTCCTGCTGGCAGGACAATATCGTTACCTCTTCTCTTCTTATACTTGTCTATTATATATATGGCAGTGATAAATGGAGGAATAAATCCTACAGGCCGTGGTACAGACTCCTTTTTATCGAATTATTAACTTCTGCATTAAACTTCTTAAATAGCTTCATCTCATTGCAACCTCTAAATATTTTATTTTATATAATTCTCGTAATTGGAACGTTTTCAATCTGGAGATCAGCAAACTTTGTCTATTTAATTAGGTAATAAAAACTCGTAAATACCCATTTGCTTTCCACTTGAATAGTAAGATAATTTGAACACAAATTCGAGAAAAAAGGTGGCCTTCAAAAATATTGAGCCGTTTGGCGTGATTCCCACAACGAGGTTATATAGGCCAAACGACCCCATATTTTTATAAGCCATCATTTTTATCGATTTTGTGATTAAATTACCTTACGATCCAAGTCGAAAGCAAATAGGTATTTACGAGTTTTAGTGCCTAGTTAAATATACGAAGTTTACTGAATTCCAGATTGAAATCGCCCCAATTCTGAGATTGTTATTAAATAAAATATTTTTAGGTTACGATGTGATGAAGCTATTTACAAAGTTTTATGCAGATGTTAATAATTTGATAGAAAGGGGTCTGTACCACGGAGTACTATCCTATGGCTACATAACGAAAACTATAGCCAACTTGTATCAGAAATATCTCTTGGTCCATAACCAATTAAAAAGGTGAAAAACAAAGTACTTAAAATCCATACAACGTTCTAACTTGAACCCATTCACATCTGCCAGATATATACAAACTAAATTTTTATATTTAATGTGAGATTACTTTAACTATATTTTAATAAAATAATATTTAATATGAGAGTAGTAAAATTGAATAAAATGATTTACTTTAATAAAATAAAATTTACAAAAGAGTATACCAATTTTACGAAGCGTCTAATTTTCAGTTAGCTCTGGAAAGTTTAAAAGAGCAGTTGAAATATATGTTTCTAAAAGTTTGTTTTCTTATTTAAAAATCTAAAACTATTACAATAATATATATTTCTATCCTCATTTTAACCCTTTATCATTACTCATTTAAAAAAAATAAATTTATGTATCTAATCGATCGGTATGCTATGAAATATTTTTTTGAGAGCAGGTAATAAATTTTCTCTTTATTTTTTGGTTGTTTTGGCCATTATTCAGTGAGTAACACGAGTTATGATTATCTGATAATTATTATGAAATACATTACTTAAAAGATTTTTATTGTAGAGATGATGGAAGGTGATAGAAGGGGGGCCAAAATTGTGCTTACCCTTTCCTGCTCTCTCCTAGAGAAATTCCTAATTGCTACTGGAGATGGGATATCGATATTAATATCGACCTATAATTATCGATTGTAATAGGCGAATGAAAAACGATGTTATTTACATCTTTAAATTAATTAATGGAAATACCAATTCTTCTACTCCTCTTAGTAAAATTAATTTTATAGTTCCTGCCCATCTTCGTCATCCTCAGGTTTTTATCAGAAATTTCTATTCAACCAATTATACCTTCCATTCATCCATAGATCGGATTTAATGAAATGCTAATTTATTTCATAGATTTCTTTGAAAATTCATGGCTTGGTTTGAGAACGTTCTAACTAACACTTTTGAGCAAATTGAGTTTACTGTGTGAAAAGAGTCCCGCGCTTGCTTAACTCTACTTAGATATGGCCATCAATAGTAAATATAATCGAAATATCGATATTTTCTTCTACTATGCACTGAATTCTATATGAAACAGGCTATATGAGTATGATTTTTTTTTTCTTCTGACGATCAGATTCATATATAATTCCTTTCCGAACAATTTTTCTTTTTTTTTTTCAAAATAAAATATTAAAGTATCAAATGGACTATATCGATGTTCGATAACATCGAAGTAGATACTATCGATGGTAAAATGTCAAATACCGAAAAGAAAACATCGATATTTCGTTGATATCGACTATCGATGGGCATCCCTAACTATAGAAATTTCTATTCAACGAATTATACCTTCCATTCATCCATAGATAGGATTCAATGAAATACTAATTTATTTCATGGATTTCTTTGACAATTCGTGGCCTTGGTTTGAGAACGTTCTAACTAACAAATTTGAGCAAATTGAGTTTACTGAGTGAAAAGAGTCCCGCGCTTGCTTAACTCTACTTAGATATGGCCATCAATAGTAAATATAATCGAAATATCGATATTTTCTTCTACTATGCACTGAATTCTATATGAAACAGGCTATATGAGTATGATTTTTTTTTTCTTCTGACGATCAGATTCATATATAATTCCTTTCCGAACAATTTTTCTTTTTTTTTTTCAAAATAAAATATTAAAGTATCAAATGGACTATATCGATGTTCGATAACATCGAAGTAGATACTATCGATGGTAAAATGTCAAATACCGAAAAGAAAACATCGATATTTCGTTGATATCGACTATCGATGGGCATCCCTAACTATAGAAATTTCTATTCAACGAATTATACCTTCCATTCATCCATAGATAGGATTCAATGAAATACTAATTTATTTCATGGATTTCTTTGACAATTCGTGGCCTTGGTTTGAGAACGTTCTAACTAACAAATTTGGGCAAATTGAGTTTACTGTCAAAGAGTAAACTCAATTTTACTGAAAGTTGTTTGAGAGTTAACTGTAAAAGTGTTCCGCTCTTGCTCAACTCTACTTAGATATGGCCATAAATATTCAATATAATCGAATTATCGATATTTTCACTTCTATGCACTACATTCTATGAAAAAAAAAATGAAACAGTCAATATGAATATGATTTTTTTCTAAAGTAGAGATTCATATATAATTCGTTTCAGAATTGTTTTTTTTTTATATTTTTATTTTCAAAATAAAATATTGAAATACCGAATATCTTATATGGCCATCGGCTAACTAATTATAAAATATGGCCATCACTAACTATTTTTTTTTTTTTTTTTTTTTTTTTTGGCAGGATGCTCGGGTGTCCTGGAATACGGGGTTTTCCCGGCGGTGCTGTGCACACACGTTAGCCCGTTCGGCCACCCCGCCCATCCCTAATCAATTTATTAATTAATGACTTATTTCTGATACTTAATAACTACTATAGTACAGACTTATTGAGAGACCTTTATGAGGCGGTCCCTGATCTCCCAGGAGAAGATCCCGGGGGACTCCCTCTTGTACTGCTCTATCCTCCGCTCGACGTCGGGAGTGGCCACCCTGGGCTTGCTCCCTCCGATGACTCCAGGTCGGATGCTGCCGGTCTCCTGGTACCTGTTGAGGATCTTGGAGACGCAGCCGTGGCTGACCCTCAGCTGCCTGGAGATGACGCAGGGCCTGATCCCGGAGGCGGCCATCTCCACGATCTTCAGCCTGATGTGGTTCGGCAGGGGGCGGCCGTTGATGAAGACGCCGCCCAGCTGGTTCACTCGACCCTGCCCTGCAACACCCGTTAGTCCATTCATGAGTTGTAGACAGTTTGTCGCAACAATAATAATAATAATAATATAATAAATAAACATTAGATGGTTACATAGATAATAAATAGAAAATATAATTAAAAAAATAAATAAAATATGTGTGAAAAAATCAAGAAGGCGTGATTAATAATATGAAATATAAATCACCATCTCCACATGTATTATTACAGTAAGGCTCGAAATCGGTTTTATACCGAATATAAGCTCTTGTCATGCTCAAATACCATGAATGGGGTACTTTTGGATTCAGAATTTCACGGGGGGTTAGCGAATCGCATTCTCCACTTTTGTTTTTCTTTCTAAAATAAATAAAGTCGATACAAACATTTTGCTAGGCTTCAATACTGGAACGGTGGTAGTTCTGTAGATCGATACGGGACAAATTGGATCTTTTAGATTTTGATGCATATATTCCTTTGGAACTATCGGATCCTACGTTTTTAAGCCCAAAAGCGTACTATTTTCGAGATACCATAGGGTTCGCATCCACACAACCTTACATTAATTGTAGTACTGTCATTGAATACATGTCTCATTTCGTCGACTTGAGGTCTCTATGATCGAGAGAGGAGGAGTTTATATTATTTATCGATGTTGTTTTTGATCGGCATGCCATATCATCGTTAATTCTTCACCAAATCTCAAGATTGAGCCACCAATTTTGAAGGCTTCCTTCTCCTTCAGGCGGGCAAAATAGTCCAATCACCCCGAAAATTCAGGCAAACAAGTTATGAAAGAAAACAGACTTTATTTGCGAATAACTAAAAAATTACACACTTTTCTCTTGCTTATGCCCATGATTATATAAAAGATTACTGAATTCCCTACAAAATGAAAAAAGTCATCGAAATCTTTTGGACAATTTTTAGCAAAGATACAGCTTACTTAAATTTGTAAACATATTGGTTCCAAACAAAAATGAAGATATAAATTAATTTTCGTTTTCTTTGTCGATTATATTTATCGATAAAGTAACATTTGATTTCTTTATGTTTTGATGCGTTGCATTATTTTATTTTCTTATTAATTTGGCATTTGATAACAATATGCTGTGCGAATTTTTCGCACGGGCCTACTAGTTATAAATATTAGCTTATTATAAAGAGGATGAAATGCTGAACTATACCCTCACTTACATTATGCCGGTCCTAATTTTAGTTTCTATAATATTTTCATCCATTTCTTTAATAAAACTCTTTATCATTTAGATTTTGACACTATGTTTACCCCCCAAGATACAATTTTGAGTAATAGCTCATTACAAAGAGTATGAAATGATGAACATTTTCCTTTCTAACAATATGATGGTGCGATTTTTGGTTTTTGAGATATTTTTATCCATATACAAAAACACTCCAATTAGTCGACTCCAGCCGACTTTACACATCGGAGATCTGACGGCTCAATCTAATTCACTCTCAACAAAATAAGTAAAAAATACATCTAAAAAACTTTTTATTTGATAATTCACTTCAGTTTACCATAAAGATGATATTGACTAAAACAGTGATTTTACAAAATGATGAAATGTATGTACCTAACTGTTATTAATAACATTTTAGAGAGGCCTGAATGATTTTATTAAATATCCAATCTTCGTATTTTTACCGTTTACTAAAAAAGTGTATTATAGTTATTAAAACGCGTTAAGATACAATTTTGAATAATAGCCCATTACAGAAAATATGCTGAACATTTCTCTCGCTTATTGTATGGAGATCCGATTTTTTGTTTCTGAGATATTTTGATCCCTATCTTCAATAAAACTCGTTATCATTTGGTTTTTCACACTATTTTTACCATTTTCGCCTCTCTAACACGGCGGTGCGTTCATATACTATTTTGAATAATAGCCCATTACAAAGAGGATAAAATACTGAATAATTCCTTCCCTAACAATATGCAGGTCCGATTTTTTGTTCTTGAGATATTTTGATTCATATCTTCAATAAAACTCGTTATCATTTGGATTTCGACACTATTTTTTCTCTTTTAACCTCTCTAACACGGCTTCGCGTTAAGATGCAATTTTGAATAATAGCTCATTACAAACAGTATGAAATGTTGAACATTTCCATCGCTTACAGTATACAGGTTCGCTCTTTAGTTTTTGAGATATTTTAATCCATATGCATTAGTCAACTTTAACCGAGTGTTATACATCGGAAATCTCACGGCTTATTCTATATCACTCTTCACCAAAAAATTGCAAAACGTGCTTGAAGAAGTTTTCATTTCAATAAACATTAAATTATTACATTAATAATAAATAGAAAATATAATAAGCAACAAAAACAAGTAAAATTGGACTAAAATTCCTAAAACTGCAAGGATTAAAAATTAGACGGGACTCAGTGAATGTTAAGGAAGACTGGGGTATATGACTGGCAATAAGCATGGAAGTTGCAATTTGCGATAGTTTAAAATAAATATAAATATAAGTAGTGATGATACGAGTAATCACAAGATAAGTCGATAACATGACAATCCATGTTATCTGAGGGTGAGCAGAAGCGCTATAACCACACATACATGGCTTCAGTAGAGAATCTGGCCATTGCCAAAACTCCAATATTTACTTATTCACAAAAGGTCTATGGGCCACTGCCGCTTCAACCTTCGAGGAGGATTGTAAGAATGGGTGGTGCTGGATATGGATTGTGCAAGGGGATTTGGATGATGATAAGGTTCTGGTGAAAGATGGTGTAATAAAAAAAAATACTAATGTTCTGCTGTAGTTCTTTTGTTTTTTCGAGCAAGTTTTAATTTATTCCTGACGTCAGAATCGATAACGCTGAGTTGTATTAAGCGATAAAGCCGAAAACAGACAATAAACGAAAGAAAACTATTAGAACCAAGGTCTCGTTGACAATTTATTTTTAAACTACCGATCGTTAATATTTTAATCTGCACTTGGATGTTCTGTTTTGCTTTTTTTAATTTTAGAGTAACTACGTATTTACGGAATTCGATGAACTAGGGAAGATAAATGATTTAGAACTGCCTCCCTGATCGTGCCCGTCTGAAATTGCTTCTTCTTGATTGGCCAGTTTTCGATTACTGAGACACGTGTTGTTTAATGGAGAACTTTTCGAGTTTTCGTCTCAGTTTTCAATATTCTTTGTGTTGTATAAAGACGTAGACCTCGGAGGAGGGACAATAAAAAAAATAATGACGGCAGTAGTTTTTATTAAGTGTAAAAATTCAACATAATTATTGTGAAACGAACAAATATAATATTCAATATTTAAAATTAATTTGTTTATATATTTCTATAGTTTTAAGGATTTTATTAAGTGAAAACTTTTTTAGGCGCGTTTCTACTTTTGTAGAGAGTGAATTAGATTTAGCCGTTAGATCTCCTATGTGTATAAAGTAGTAATGTATAATTATTGTTATATATATGAAAAAAAAGCTTTCGGGCTGAAGCCTCTCCAAAATTAAATCCTAAATCTGTTAGTAGTTAAGAGTGCCCTTAAAGAGAGATGTCATATCAATCAGGCATTGAAGAGTTGCTGTTCTATCGACTTTCTGTGTTATATCGATTCTTTAGAAGGAAAACAATATCCACTTCAATAATAGACAACGACCGAGATGAAGAAACTTCAAAGAACTCGTTACAGAAAGTGCACCTCGTAAAAACGATTACACGGGCTTACGTCAGCTCTTTGTCTAGCACCAATAGAACGGTTCCAATTGATTATATTTTATTGTTTATGTTACATTTTAAATCTTTTCTCATAGAAAAGTGGCCTATATCATTAGTGAGCTGGATATGATTATATCAGTCAGTTATTAATATAAAAATTATTCGCTTCACGGGCATTGCAAAAGCACTGCGCAACCCAAAGCTAATCTACTCCATAACTAACAGGAAAAGAGCCATATAAATATAAATATGTTTATTCGCGTAATAAAACATAAATAAAGCGGTAAGAGTACAAACAACTAACCTATACAAACTATTACAGTGGCGTAAATAAACCCCTTCTTCCCGACAGTCTAATTCAATCAGTGAATCCAACACGGTCATTCGGAATGACATTCCAAGTAATGATTGGCATTCGGATTGATCTTGTAAGGTTAAGATTAATGAAGAGATGGGCTGAACTGACAGATTTACAGAACCCGTGAAATCCAAATTTAAATCAGGAGAAATGGTTAGGTTAGCTACTAGTTTAGTTAACTTAGTTTTCATAACCGATTTATATTCTTAATTTTCATTTAAAATTACCAGTTGTTTATATCCCTATGATTTTTATAAACAATCGTCAAATTACAAAAAAAATATTAGTTTTATTTTTTATACAAATTAGGCCATTATTCACCAACATTTTATTTATTACAAGGTTTCGACCATCACTAGGGCCCTTTTTCAAATCTGGAAAAATTTTAATGTCATTGTTAGTTTAAATTTACATTTACAAAAATTTTATTTTACTTAATTAACTAATCTAGCGATCCATGTCATACAATTTCAATATACACAGATTTGTATACTTTTCTAAAAACCTCTCTTGCACGGAACTTTACTCAGTATATACAATTGATTGTTGTCTTATTGATTCCTCCATTAAATTTCCACTATTCCATATTAGTTTTTCTAATAATAAAATGAGCGATAAATAAAACAATATACACATTTTAATTATTGGAAAAATTAATTTTTAACTATTGTGTTTCTACTTTCATATCTATACTAGGTAGCAATAGGGTCAAATTTCCAATGTGTGGTTTTCGACAGATCTGTACGTTTCAGAGCCCCTGATTCCGAAAAAAAAACATTTTTAAAATCACAATTGTTATTTTTTTCCCCTAACATATTTTTTATTTAAGCAATATTTTATCTATACGTTTTATATATTTGATCTTGTGTTTTTCTAACTTTTATCTAAATGATTTTCGGGCATTACGAAGTGTGAAGTCTCTAAACGTTTGTATTGATTTAATTTTGGGAGGGGTAAAG